GAAGACACGCGAGTCTGCGCTTTGTTGGCACAGGGCCTAAGAGTGAGCTGCCATGGCGTCAGCCTACGCTCACCAAACCCCGTGCCAAACTCCTGGGGCCTCACGCAATCCTCTACCTCAGCCCTCCCAAGGACTGGGACTACAGGCATGCGCACCATGCGCACTAATTATTTTCTATATATATTAGTTGGCAATTAATTTCTTTCTATTATATAATAGAAAGACGCGGCGTCTTGTGCTCTTGCTCAGGCCTGGTTTGCAACTCTGACCGTTGAGCCGATCCACCCGCGCCGTCCCGGCCGGTCGCCAGGAGTGCTAGGCATTGCAGCACCCATGAGACACCTCAAACCTGGCCCAACCCCTGAAAGATTTTTAAACTCCTTTTCAGACAACATGAAACACAAGAATAGATATGTTTCTAAATATATGAAAAAATACGTTTATAAGAACCTGCACTTGAATGTTTATAGGCAGCCACAATTCATAATTGGCAAGGCTGTGGTAAAAGCAGCCCAAAGTGGCCGCAATCAATCCAGAATGGATTAATAAACATGCGGTCACATATGCTATACGCATGGAGTAGCTATTCAGCTCTACAGAAAGAATGGTGATATAGCACATCTTATATTTTCCTGGCTTAGGAGCTGGACCCATACTACTAAGCGAAGTATCCGCAAGAATGGAAAAAACACAGCACAGATTATATTTCTCCAGCAAACCTGGTATTCAACTGAGTAGCACCTAAGTGGCACATAGGTGCTACAGTAAATAGGGTATGGGGAGGTGGGAGGGTGCCGGGTATATACATAGCACAATGAGGAAGATGATGCACATCACTGGGGGATGGTCATAATGGAGGAGCTCAGCCCCAACTTTTGGGGGGAGGGAAATGGGCTTTTTTGGAACCTTAAACTGAGCCCCATAGATAATTGCCAAATAAAGAAAAAAAAAAATACCTTTATAGCCCTTTCATTTTGCACTTGGCAAATCCCATCCCTTATCTATAACATGTTTCTCCTTGCCAACCTTTCCACTTATAGACTCACTTAATAATTCATCATTTAATAATAAGATGATTCATAGAACGCATAAACCAATAAACTTTTTCAGCCCAGAGCTGGTGGACTCACGGCGCCGTAATCCTAGCACATCTGGGAGCGCGCTGCAGCGCGGTGGATCGCTCAAGGTCAGAGTTCGAAAACCCCCAGACCTGAGCAATGCAGGCGAGACACCGTCTCTATTATAAATAGAAAGAAATTAATGGCCAACTAATTATCATACACTACGGAGAAAATTAGCCGGCATGGGGTGGCCACATGGCCTGTATCCGCAGCCTCACTTGGAGGGTGAGGCAGGAGGCATTCCGCTTGAGCCCCAGGACGTTCTCCGACGGTTGCTGTGAGCTAGGCTAGACGCCACGTGCACTCCACTCCTAGCCTGTGCAACAAAGGCGAGACCTACTGTCTCAAAAAAAAAAAAGAACGCTAACTAAAAAAAAAAAAAGAACCTAACTTTTCAAAATAGTCACACAATTGGCAATTTCTGCACCTAAGATAACATGAACCTCAATGCATCCCCAACGCAGGAATATCCTAAAACCTTTTGGGAGCAACCGATACTAAGGCCCAATGAGAATTAACTATGGTTAGGAATACAAAAACATATATATATATTTATAAATATATAAATTTCAATATCTAAATGAATTATAGTAATTAAATCCATATCCCAAGAGGGCAGCACAATCAAGCCAGTTGGAAATAGGAAACAACATACCCAATAGTGAAGAAATAAAATATGGGCAATGATTTCATGAGATCCCCTGTTATATGCTGTACTATAAATGATTACTAAAGATATCTGAGAGATCACAAAAATAGTAAAATGCTCAGTATCTAAGAGGACCAAAAAACTGAGAATATGATTAAAAGGATGAAAAGCTAGAGGATTTTTTTCACTTAATCCTGTGAGTTAAAATAAAATTGGGATCCTTTATCATGGAGAGGTGTTTCCACTGATTTCTTCTATAGCTAAAGAACCTTAGACGGGCTTATCCAAGCTTACCTGCTCCCTCAACATCAAGCAGTCCAAAGCCTTCACCAAAAAACCTAGCCAACAATTCCTTTTAGACAAGAGCAACACTGTGTCTTTTTTTTTTTGAGACAGAGTCTCACTTTGTCGTCCATGCTAGAGTGAGTGCCGTGGTTTCAGCCTAGCTCACAGCAACCTCAAACTCTTGGGCTCAAGCGATCCTCCTGCCTCAGCCTCCCGAGTAGCCGGGACTACAGGCACGTGCCACCATGCCCGGCTAATTTTTTCTATTTTTAGTTGTTTGGCTAATTTATTTCTATTTATAGTAGAGACGGGTCTCACTCTTGCTCAGGCTGGTCTCAAACTCCTGAGCTCAAGCAAACCACCCGCCTTAGCCTCCCAAAGTGCTAGGATTACAGGCGTAAGCCACTGCGCCCGGGCAATCCTGTGTCTCTATCAGCGCTGATAGAACACTGCTCACTTGGTGGGAAACTAGAGTCCCGGGCTCCTGGTTCAGGCCTTGGGTAGACATAAAGGAAACGATCTATAAAGGAGCCAGGCTTTGTCCTGTATGGTCCTTGCCAGTTCCAAAACTCTGTCTTGGAAAAGGAAAGAATCTGTTCCTATCTAAGTTATGATAGGCCGGGCGCGGTGGCTCACAACTATAATCCTAGCACTCTGGGAGGCTGAGGTGGGAGGATTGCTCGAGCTCAGGAGGAAACCAGCCTGAGCAAGAGCGAGACCCCGTCTCTACTAAAAATAGAAAGACATTAATTGACCAACTAAAACATATATATATATATATGCATATATATATATAAAAATTAGCCAGGCATGGTGGCACGTGCCTGTAGTCTCAGCTACTTGGGAGGCTGAGGCAGTAGGATTGCTTGAGCCCAACAGATTGAGGTTGCTGTGAGCTAAGCTGTTGCCACGGCACTCACTCTAGCCTGGGCAAGAAAGTAAGACTTTGTCTCAAAAAAAAAAAAAAAGTTATGATATACTCCAAGAGCTATGCTTTTGCACATGGCCTACAGGAATATGATTATCGACAGAACTATTCTATCTATTGTTAGAAAAACAGATATTGAAGGTCCCAGAATGTGCTATATTGCTTTAGAAAACCAGAAGTAAATGATGACAAGACACTCTAGGATGATACTATGTCCCCCAAAGAATTTAAGTGTACGCCTTTTATACCAAGTGATCTCAAGAATCAGCTTCTGGCCGGGAGCGGTGGCTCACGCCTGTAATCCTAGCACTCTGGGAGGCCAAGGCGGGGGGATTGCTCGAGGTCAGGAGTTCGAAACCAGCCTGAGCAAGAGCGAGACCACGTCTCTACTATAAATAGAAAGAAATTAATTGGCAAACTAATATATATATATATAAAATTAGCCGGGCATGGTGGCACATGCCTGTAGTCCCAGCTACTCGGGAGGCTGAGGCAGAAGGATTACTTGAGCCCAGGAGTTTGAGGTTGCTGTGAGCTAGGCTGACGCCACGGCACTCACTATAGCCTGGGCAACAAGCAAGACTCTGTCTCAAAAAAAAAAGAATCAGCTTCTGGTTAAAATATGGGACCTTACTCTAACACCATTTGGAACTGAGAACAGGAAAGAGGGGACAGGTTAGAGGAACAAAATGTTTAAAGGAAAAAGAAGGAGAAAGAAAAGACTAAAGATCCAAGGATGGGAGAGAAATAAAGGTAATTCAGTGAAAAGAATGGAGAGAAGCCCGTGATAGAGAAGGACTGACAACCCTACCTTCATCCTCACCGGACTTGCTTAGTTGCTTCACCAGTTTGGCTGTGTTGTTCTACGAGAGATGGGAGCAGCAGAAAGGTCAATGCTAGGAGGCGATTTAGCCCACTTGGAGCTAACCACCCCACAAACTCCCTGGTAATCTCTTAACAGTCCCAAACAGAGACTAACAGTTAACCTTTCACAAAAACTTTGCAGATAGTCTTACTTAATCCTTAGAACAACCCAGTTAGGTAGGTACAATTATTCCCATTATACAGATGAAAAAACTGAGGCTCAGATATATGAAGTGCCCCAAGCCACACACCTAACTAAAGGAAATAAATTCAAACCAAGTCTTCTGGATTCCAAATTTCTTTCTTTCTTTTTTTTAAAACATTCTACCTCACAGGCCCAAGACTGCAGCCACAATGGAGTCAGTGAGAATTTTTCATCTGTTAGGCTAACCCAAAAAGGAAGAATCAGGGTTGTAAAGACTGATAGTACCTGCTTGAGATGGTCCACAGTGAGCGGTAGGTGCTGCAGGGTCAGCAGAATTTGCTGGAGGAGGGGAATGTTGTTGGTTGTCTTTGAATATGTCAGCCAATTGTTAAGAAGTTTGTAACCACCAACGTCAATAAACCTGCAGGCAGGTAGGCAGGCAAATCTGTTATGCCCTTCCTGAGTTTTGAAAGTACCACATCCCACACTCCTAGTCCCCCATTAATGACCTAGGAACCCATGCCTCACTTCCCCCATCTTCTAACTACATCTCCCCATTCCAACCACCGAGATCCCCACTTACTTGACCAGTATTTCTGGTGAACGGGTCTGCAGGAGAATGTTCAAGTAAGTGCATCGACTCACCATCTTTCGTGATTCCTTCATCAGACTGTAGGAAATGAGTTAGGGTTAGAAATGGATCAGCCAGAGTCTCTTCTTTTAGCAAAAGCACCTGTGGAATGCCTAGATCTCTGATGATTTGGGACTTTGCTCCAGAGTAGGGGAGTCACACATGCCTCTAGGAAGGGAAGGATCCAGAGTGACATGAAAACTCATGGGAGAATAGAAGACAACTAAGGAGATACTAACTCTTTGATCTATACATTTCAGTCTACCTACAGGTGAAACAGCTAGCCCTCAACAATTATTCCTTAGTAGTCTGTTTAAGACTGGCTTAGGGCCGGGCAAGGTGGCTCACGCCTGTAATCCTAGCACTCTGGGAGGCCGAGGTGGGCGGATTGCTCCAGGTCAGGAGTTCGAAACCAGCCTGAGCAAGAGCGAGACCCCGTCTCCACTATAAATAGAAAGAAATTAATTGGCCAACTAAAAATATATAGAAAAAATTAGCCGGGCATGGTGGCACACGCCTATAGTCCCAGCTACTTGGGAGGCTGAAGCAGAAGGATTGCTTGAGCCCAGGAGTTTGAGGCTGCTGTGAGCTAGGCTAATGCCACCGCACTCTAGCACAGGCAACAGAGTGAGACTGTCTCAAAAAAAAAAAAAAAAAAAGACTGGCTTAGTTATTTGCTTTCCCCTGGAAAAGTTGAGGATTAAAAAAAAAAAAAAAAAAAGACTGGCTTAGTTATTTGCTTTCCCCTGGAAAAGTTGAGGATTCCTGAAGATTGAAAATAACATTTTTTTTTTTTTTTGGAGACAGAGTCTCGCTTTGTTGTCCAGGCTAGAGTGAGTGCCATGGCGTCAGCCTAGCTCACAGCAACCTCAAACTCCTGGGCTCCAGTGATCCTTCTGCCTCAGCCTCCCGGGTAGCTGGGACTACAGGCATGCGCCACCATGCCCGGCTAATTTTTTATATATATATCAGTTGGCCAATTAATTTCTTTCTATTTATAGTAGAGACGGGGTCTCGCTCTTGCTCAGGCTGGTTTTGACTCCTGACCTTGAGCAATCCGCCCGCCTCGGCCTCCCAAGATGAAAATAACATTTTGAGTAAGCGGGACATGAACCAAAACAGAATCAAAATTCTGTCACCAGGCTCCCCTACTCTCATTCCAAAGAGTGACTCTCTTGGGACTGTGGATGTCCAAATCTCCAGCCTCCATTACAGCCTGCAAGCAAGGGGTCATCTTTTCCTTTCACTTATCCTAAAATTACTGGATTTGAATCCTATTCCACTGACTCTCCCTTTCCTCTCCAGAATCATTTCCATCTGCCTCTGCTGTAGCCATATTACAACACAATATCCTCTACTCACAATAAATGCAAAGGAGTACAGACTCACCTGAAGATCTTGGAAATCCCATCCACACTCTTGACTTCCCCATCTCGGTTAAGGAAGCTATCCAGGCCTTTAAGAAGCTCTTTGGGGTCTATGGGACCCGAACCCATGACTGTGGTTTCTAAGATGAGGACAAAACAAAAAAACCCACAGAATGAATGGGTGGCAAGGACAGTCCTAGTATACCCATCCCTGTATTTGATAAAATATAGTAACTAATTATACAACTACATCATTTTCCAGATCAGAAAAATCAAGAGGCTATTGTCAGTACTAAGAAAGTAGCCCTGGCAGGGTGAATACATGACTGAATGGGAAGACAATCAGACTGGTGGACTGGGGTAGCACGCCCGTCCCTCCCTCCCAGTTACATCCTTCCTAGGAAAGTTGAATGCCACTAGTGTGTGAGAGCTAAGATTCCAAGTTCCCATAACAAGCTTAACTCTCCAAGACATTTTTGCTTATTGTTGAACTGTCTCCCTAGTTGCTGATAAATGTGGCTTGAAGACAAGCCTGTAAGTCGGTAAGTGGGCAAATCTTGAGCTGTCTTGAAAGAGGTTGGAGTCTTTATTATCTTAGCCCACTAAGAGTCATAATCACCCTAAGTGGCAGGATATGTATCAGCCGAAACTGTATGTGATAAAAGAAAACAAAACCTGAAACAGAATCTCTTCCCCAAAGGGATCTGGGGGGGAGTAGCTCCCAGAAATGGAGGCAAATGGATGCAAAGGAAATCAAGCAGATCCTCCTAAACCTTGAACAGAACGTCACTCATTAATCAAACACTGCACAAGTTTTGACCACGGCAAAGTTAAAGGAAACCTTGGTTTATGGTTTCAAAACCAAAGATGAAAATCTGACCCCCAGCCCTTAAAAAATGACACTGTCCAAGATCCCCAAGAAGAGCCAGAAACTAAAAACCAAGGAACCAATAAAAACAACAAATAAAGCTAGAAGCTGGGAAAATTCCATTAAATTTTAAGCAGCTACTTTGGACCAGCTTGGAAAAGGAGTCAATTTAAAGCTAAACTCCCTTTTATGGAAGGGAAAAAGTATACAGCAATTTCTAGGCCAAACCAAAGTTCTAGAGAGGTAATTTAGGATCAATATGGTTTTGACTGGGATTTTTATCCACACTGCCTCTAAACACTGGCTTCTGAGAATCAAAAAAGCAAGCCACCTTGGCAAGTCTGCACTTGGGAAACACGGCTAGCAGGGAGTAGAAAGGAGGTGAGGCGAAAACAGCCTCCTGTGACCTACATCTAGTACAAAGACAACAGATGCAATCCAGCAGAAGAGTGGAAAAACGAGTATTTTACAAAGATGACTGTATTTTGTGCAGAAAACAGGTTTCTTATAATGCAAATTAGAAACACAAACATAACAACCTCAATGCTTTAGTCCTCCCAACAAAAAGATCAATGAATTTCTAAATTTGTAGGTCCCAACAATCTAGGCCGGCAGAAGCAGGGGAAAGGGGCAGCAGTACAATCCTGGTTCTAGACATCACAACCTGTGGGCTGAAAATAGGGAGAGATGAGGCAAGAAACGCCAAGAAGTGAGCAAATCTAGGTCAACTGTGCTGTTGCTGCTGCCCTGGAACCTCCATGAGGACAAGTTGAACCTGGGGTCAGAAGAAAAAAACACCCAAGTAGAATACTGGAAGATATTAGAAGTCTGTGGGCCAAATCCACCAAAGTGTGGTGATTCTTACACACAGTGAAACAGACACAGGGATAAAGGAACCCTTCCCATGTAGTGGGACACTATAAAGTGATAGATATAGATACGTTAAAGGGATATATAAAACAGATTTCCCATGTGTTGGAGACTGGAAAAGCAATGAATGGGTCCAAATAACATAAGTAACAAGAGCTTAAGAAACTTTATCCCCCTAACACAGCTGATTCAAACTGTGAATCAGAACTGAATATATATCATGTTGGAGAACTCGCTTTTGCACATCCAATTACAAGCTAAGCCAATAGGCTTGCTACCCCTACTTCTTTCAGAAACTCAAACTATCACTTGAGCTCAAATGTTCCTTCATTTAAGAGGACAGGAGACAAGAAAGAGAATAACCAGGCTTAGAAAAATGGACCAATGATCACAAAGCTAAATTCTGTTCAGTGCCCTCTGCTGGGAATGGAACCCAGGGACTTTTTAATTCCCATTTGTATAAACGAGGATAAGAGAATAGTCAGGGGAAACTAGGAGACAAAGCAAAAGAAATGTTAAATATTCCCTTTTCACTACTAAATTTTGGAACTATAATTGTAATTTTGTCTCATGAGCACCAATCATGTGATAAAATATAAGTGGATTTCCTCATGATGGCTTTCCTGCAGGCAGATTAGTTTTTTACTTATTTAAAATTAAGGACCCAAAGTGCCTTACAATCTAGTTTTCTTACTTTGAAGCCAGTACATTTTGAAAGAAAGAAGTTCCAAAGCACTCAAGTGGAAAGGAATGAAGAGCTTAACATTCCTAGCACAGACCTACATTGGAGAAGACAATTGAGTTGACCAGGGAAGGTAGGGGAAGTGACCAAGTGTCACAACATTACCCACTCATGATCTGGAGCCTGGAATGAAAGCTTGAGTAAGCCTCCTGGAAGCACAAAGAATCCAGATTGTTTTCTTTTAATAAGCTGTTAATTTCCCTGAAGGCAGAACATACAGAAGGTGGGGGTTAGGGGAAAGCAGCCCTGGCCTACCTCCACCTGGTCCTAAGCTATGCTTTCCTTATGGATGTTGAGCAGAGCCATGCACTCCTGGCACAGGCACTGGGGAATTTTCTACTGTTCTTACCAGAGATAAAATTGAAAGTCTGTCAGTGACACTGACCCCTGCCTCCAAAATGAATTTTACTTGTTATTCAATTAAACAGGGTGAAAAAACACCCAGCATGGCTAGTTATTCCACATCCATCATTAATGAAACAGGAAGGAATTGATTCAGGACAAAAAATTATAGCAAGCCAGAATCCTTTTAAAAAGAAAGCGATCGCAACTATTTTCTAACAAAAGGAGAAAGGAGTTGCAAGTTTACCTTAGAGGCCTTAGCATTTCTGGCAACTTCTGCTTTGTACCTAACATCCTTTACATTCCCCTTCTTTTCCTCCCTTTCCTTGGTGTTTGGGCATTTCCTAGTAGAACTCGATAGATAGTGGACTGAATTATGTCTCTCAGGTGATTCATAAGGTCATTATCAGTCTTCTAGGAAGTAAGCCCCTACCCCTCAAAGTCATCACCTCCCAAAAGCTGATTTGCCTTTCAATAAGGAACAAAATCACACACTATCCTCACCCATAGGAAAAGATCCCAGAATAGAACTCTGGCCACAAACTACACATATTAGGTTCTCTTGAGCTTCTCTGGAGGGATTTGGTTTCCCTAGTGGGCCTTGTTTCCCATCTCCCATGTTAAGGAAGATCTTTATTAATCCCTGCTCACTAGAGATCAGGAAACCCAGAGGGTAGAATGTTTAGCTCCCAAGGAAGGTATGCTGCAGAGGCACATGGCAAACAGCTTAGAAGATTAAAAAAAAAAAGAAAAAAAAGAACTTGTGGTCAATAGACATGTGGAAGAGTCCCTCCCAACCAATTTAAGTATTTAGAATGCACAGCCAGTAGAAAATTAGCCCTAAGTCTCACCCAAATTACCACAGGACAATTGTACAAAATGGCTTTCCAATTCTGCCTATAATCTCCATACTTCAATGCAGGACTTTAAAAAAAAAATGTATATGTAAAGTCTAATAAAGATTTGACTTTGAAAAAGCTTGGGGAAGAAAGATAAGAACCGGATACCCAGTACCACCCTCAGATAGGGCATGGCTTTTGAACATGCACCAATTGCCACAGCACTCCACAACTTGAAAAATGAAGAGGACATTTTTTTCATTAATGCTTTTAAGGAATTTCTTTTAGAAGGGAAGGAAAAAGAAATTCAAAATAGGTGGCTCTTTGAAAAAAGAAATGAAGGTTGTGAAATGTAATACCAGAAAGGTTTTGCTTACCAGAAACCGTAGCTTGATTCCCCCTGCCTTGAGTTTACAACTGCCGCCTCCTTTCCTAAAGATTCACTTTTCATCCTAGTACCAATGTACAGGAACTAAGCAAGTGGAGAACGTGATACAGCACTGAATACAAAGAGTTTATCCCCAAACCGAGAGGTGGAAATAAGGGCAATTTAGAAGAAAAGTCCTGAAGTACCCACCTTCCCCCACAAAGCAACGAAATGCAGGAGGCCTGAGGACTGGGTCCTGAACAGAAATGGCACATTTCAGTGTCATTAGGCCCCATTTGTCTCCAAGTTATTCACGTAAGCCCTTGTGTCTTACCCATTTCCCCCAACACACATATACACATACACACAGGCTCACACGCACTCCCCCAAAAGCCTTCCGTCTTAGTTGAGAATACCCTGGCAACCGAAGTAGGGAAAACTTCCAAGCAGTTGTGATGAAGTGAAGTGAACATAAAAGCAACGGGCTGTTAAATAAAAAAAACTAGAGCTACGCAAGGAGATGGACAGCCTCATCTCTTCAAGACAAAGGCTTTAAAAGATTGTTATCTAATAAGGAAAATGTCTTCTGCTATTCTCCCCCCTAGCAGCAAGTAGCACAGGGAAATCCAGAAGGCATCTGCTCAGGGGTGGAGTTTCAAGAGGGTGGAGAGAGGAGGAAGAAAGCTGATTACATCACCTTTCAATGCTGCTCCTCCCCCTTGACCAAGTTTCTAGGGCGGCCCTAAGCTCTGGATGGCAAAAGGGGAAGAAAAACAACAAAGGAGGGACGCCATTTTGTAATGGAGAAGAGGACTCAAACTTTAAAAAGCCACCCGGCTCTGCCGATAGCTTCAGCTATATCATAAACACCCTTTTTTAGCAAAAAAAAAAAAACAAACAAACAAACAAAAGCCAACCCTCCATCCTGAATAATCTTTGATCAATTTTGATCAGTTAAGAGTGTAGTGAAAATTAAATCAATTAAAATATTAAAAAGAACAAATTTTCTGAGGGGAAGAACTGAATTTGCAATTGAGATTCAACCTGCTACCATCAACCACCCCCATTCTCCCTACAGAGGGAAAGGGGGAGGACTTGGACCCCTCTCAACAAATAGGGTTGAGGTGGGAGAACAGGAGAAAAATGGGTCAAAACACAACCTGCAACGCCGCTTGGAAGACAAAAGGACAAGGAACGTCGCCATATTGAAGCAGGGAAGAAAAAAATTCCTTTTAACGACACAAATCTTTTAGAAAGCTAGCATTCAATTGCACTAAATGGCTTTTAAAATTATACTCCTGAATTCCACATTTCCCAACCTTTCCCACCTCTATTTAACTGTATCCCCCACCAAAAGATATCAAGTTAAAATGTTAATCACTTTTTTGCTTTTAAATAACCTATGCAATCTGCAACAATTACAAGACATTCTTTACCTCCCCAACTATTTTGTATGTACTGACCCTAAGATTATATTTTACCCTAAAAGTGTCTTGCAATCTTTATTCCTAGATTGCCACCTATTTTAACACACAAATATACCCCAAGCAAATTACATTAAAATTAAGAGGATTTAACAATCATTTAAAGTCATAGCCAGCTACCATTTCTCTGCCCATCTCCTTACCCTGCAATCTTTATGTACAGATTGCTTATTTATCTGGCAAATTGAAAGGCGCCCTGCTTGTCTCACACACAAAGAAGTGGGACTTCTGGGCCACAAGATCCACCATCTTTTGTATGTGAGCTCATTAACCCTTTTGAAGACTGCTGCTAACCAGAGGAAGGCAACCATTCCTCCTTATAAAAAGCAAACACTTATGGCTTTGGCAGTCTGGAAATTGCCTGGATTACCAAGGGTTAACCGTCAAAAATTCTCATTTGCTGGCCCTCCCCCCACCCTCTCCTTGCCTGCTCAGCAGGACAAGGACTGGTGGTAGGGGAGAGAGAACAAGACTGTTCAGACCCAAAGGCCCTTTTTAATGGAGATTAAGTGACCCGATCGGTCCTTCTCCAGTTCTATATTTGTTCTATGGTCTCATTTCTTCCTCTCATTACTTTTGGTTTCACAACGGGAAACGTTGATTTCTTGTTGCAAGGCTGGTTTTTGAAAATTCGACACTTACTATCCAATTTTTTTGCGACGTCAGCACCTCGGGCTCAGGGGGCAGGGGACAAAATTTTGGAGGAAAAAAAAACAACCAACCAGGACCCAAAACTCAATTATTTGGGGGGCCTCATTGGATCAAAAAGTCTCTTAAAAAATAAAGGCCAACTCAGTATTCATTACTCCCCCACCCAACTCCATTTAGGGAGGGGGGTCGTAGAAAAAAAATTCTGAGTGGATTAAAAAAAGTAAACGCTGGATGAGTGAATTTGGGTGGGTTTGGGGAGGGAGGGTGGTTGATTATTTTTGAAGTTATGTGGTGACGGTCCTTCGGCCACAGATTTCAAGTCCCAAGCAGCGTGGGCTGATGGGGTGGGCAAGACAGGTGGGAAGGGGCAGAAGACACAGTGGTTGGGCTGGTGGCTGCTGAGTTCCCTTTCCCCCCTCTCAGGATCCTTTCAAGGGCTTAGATGTTGCTGCGGCTTGTTTCTGTTTTCCTCGTGGCCGGCCTGTCTTTCTCCGAGAAAATTCAAACCTGGGATAAAAGGAACACAAGGGAGAAAGATGTAATCAGTACAGGCTGCTTTAAAACACCCAGAAATACCACTTTTGTTGTGCCTAAACACAACTCCATGTCACAGCCGCTTTACACAAGCCGAGGCTCTCAACCGAACCCACCCGTCCAACGCCTCCCGGTCCAACGATCTCCGCAAAACTTTGCCCTGTACAAAACAACATCCCCAAACTTACCTCTAAACGAACCCCAGAATGGCGGCTGCCGGCTCGGATGGAGTCTTTTATACCCAGACGCCGCCCAACGCGCCCAAACGTGCTAGTGAAACGCCCCTGTCGCGAGACATTGTGCGCGAGGCGTGAGCTCATTGGTCAACCCGAAACACAATTCGCCAGCTGATTGGCTACCCTTCTTTCGCCTTCGCTCGGCCCCTTCCTTCGGCTCCCTCTTCCGCCTCCTTCCTGCCCCCACCCCGTCGTGAGCGCGTGACCAGAAAGCCTGGCGCCTCCCTTTTCTCTGCTTCTACCACTTCCGCCCTCGAGAACGGTTCTCACCCCGGGTTGGTAGAAGCGTGCCAGCGCATGCGCACTGGGTGGATCCCAGTCAAAATCGCCTTCAAAATTGATTAAAAGGCAAACTCAAAATATGAGATCTGAGAGTCGCAGCGACTGGTCCAGGAAAAACGTAATTTTGAGGCCTAGTTTAATTGTGACGCAGTTAAAATTAGCTACTACCCACGGCCCCCCTCTCACGCTTGCGTCCTGACGCAAACGCGCGGCCGCCTCCCGCACTGCGGGCTTGTCCTTGGCCCTACCTTAGTCAATTTCCTGGAGCATGCGCTGTCAGCTTTCCGGCCATTCCTACGCTGGGCGCACGTCTCAAGATGGCGGCCTCCGCGGTAAACACGCTGCTGAGGCGGCTTATTGTGCTTTCTCCTTTCCGAAGTGCCTACGGAGTTCAGGTAACTCCTTAAAGGACATTCTGCACAACCCCAAGTTAGTTATACTTCTCCTTGGTCGTCACCCCACTGCCAGTAGTCCACGAGCAGAGATCTTACCAGGTGCTTATGTCTTGGCTGTGTGGGCAACACTTTACTTCCCGAACACCTCTCCACCTCGTACTGCGCGCATTTTCTAATTCTTTGCTGAGAGTTAAGAATCAGGGTTAGGTGTCATTCTCTTCACAGATTACCATCTCAGCAAATTAGCTAGGTGATGGAATTGACTCCTCGGTCATACACATCCCGTTCTAACTATGTCGGTGGTGTCTAAATCTGGGGTGTCCTTGGTTTGAGGAACCCTAATTTCTACCAGCCCTGCTATCTCCCAGTAAAATCAGGATGCAGTCTCACGACCTGGAGACCAGTTTCTCAGCTCTCTTTACCTTACTAAATCACTTTCTTGTTGGGGTTGTAAGTGCTTAACTCAGTCTTTGAAATTGAGTATACCCTCTATTTAGCCTCAAGTACTTACCACCCTGGAGGCTCTTGGGGCAGGGCGAGATAGGAAGGCTTGCCCAGCTGCTACTCCCTAAAGTGGGACTTAAGAGTGGTAACAGGTCGCCGCAGAGTTAATAACAGCCCTGGTGGCTTTAAAGCTAGCGTTAGGACTCAAGTTTTGTTTTGCCTTGTGGAATGATGATCTTTAGCTTTTTGTAAAACTGGGCAACTTAGTGACTGGGGATTGGATTGAGTATAACTGTGATAAATATATAAATGAACCTTTGGGTATTGCTCTCCTATTAGAAATAGGCATTTCTCTTTCCTGGCAATTTACACTGTAAATTTTGGAGTTGTGGAATAAAACTTTTTAGTATGATCCACAGTGGACAGTTAAAGGCTGGAGGGAGGGATGTTTTTATGCCAGAAATCGTTACTGCAAAAGGGACTGTATACATCCCCTCCCACTCTATACTCACTCTATACATCCCCTCCCACCACACATCTTAATGTCCAAGAATCTAGACATCCTCCCTTTCTCCTTCCACCAGACTCAATTCATATTCAGAAAGCACAAATTCCTTCCATGTACCAGGTTTTTTAATTGTCTTCTCAAATAAAATTGCTTCCCAGTCATCTAGCCCGGTTATACTGTAACATTAGCTTTTCTTTCAGGATCCAGTTGGCAATAGAGAGTGGTTGTTGGTTTACGTCAATTTAACCCCAACAGAAATACTGTGTATATATTTCTATTATATTCCATTAACACAACAGGCTTATATTCTCCCTCTGTGCAAACTGATAAGCAAAAGAATTGAGTCCTTTTCTTTAACTCATTCTTTTATTGTTTCTCCTTCATTATAGGTTCCCCTTCAGAGTCTTTGCACCAAAGCCTCTGCTGAGAAAGATTCTTTGCCCCCAGTTCCCATTTCCCCTTATGAAGATGAACCCTGGAAATACCTGGAATCAGAAGGTAACTCTAAATGGGGAAGGGGAAAGTCAGGTAGGGTTTGAGGTAAAACAGAGCTACTCCCTATACTTCCACCCAGGAATAACCTTGTGTGGTTTTCATTTCAGAATACCAGAACCGCTATGGTTCCCGCCCTGTCTGGGCTGACTACCGCCGCAACCACAAAGGTGGTATACCGCCACAGCAGACTCGAAAGATGTGTATTGTGAGTTTATGAGGGTGGGATGTGGAGTGGGGGTGGAGGCCACAGTGAACTTTTTCTGACATGGCTTTGAACATCTGCAACTGCTGTTTTTTTTCTCTGTACAGCGCAGGAATAAAGTTGCTGGGAATCCCTGCCCCATCTGCCGAGATCATAAGTTGCATGTTGACTTTAGGGTAAGGAGAATCTTTTCTTTTTCAGATAGGAGAATAAGGATTTGGAGCGCCTTTGTAATGCTAAAGAGATTACTGTAGGCACCCCACACTTCATATCCTGGAGCCCTTACAGTCCCTTTTGCAGTAATGATTTCTGGCATAAAAACATCCCTCCCTCCAGCCTTTAACTGTCCACTGTGGACCATACTAAAAAGCTTTATTCCACGCCTCCAAAATTTACAGTGTAAATTGCCAGGAAAGAGAAATGCCTATTTCTAATACGAGAGCAATACCCAAAGGTTCATTTATATATCTATCACAATTATTAGCAAGTATATTGGCCAACTTTTTTCCTGAGGTTTTCTTTATTTTGTTGTTATTTGATGTTCAATGGCATGCTGGAACCTGGGGTTGGAGTTGAGGTATATGCAGAAAGGTAGGGTCTAGTTACTATTTTTTTCCCCTGCACTCCAAATGTCTCTTAATAGTAGACTGGGTTTTTTTTGTTTTTTTTCAAAAGCCTTCAACAGGCCAGGTGTGGTGGCTCACGCCTGTAATCCTAGCACTCTGGGAGCTGAGGTGGGCGGATTGCTCAAGATCTGGAGTTCGAAACCAGCCTGAGCAAGAGCGAGAACCCGTCTGTATATAAATAGAAAGAAATTATTTGGCCAACTAAAAATATATAGAAAGAAATAATTAGCCAGGCATGGTGGCGCATGCCTGTAGTCCCAGCTACTCATGAGGCAGAGGGAGGAGGATCGCTTGAGCCCAGGAATTTGAGGTTGCTGTGAGCTAGGTTGACGCCACAGCACTCACACTAGCCAGGGCAACAAAGTGAGACTCTGTCTCAAAAAAAAAACCAAAAAGCCTTCAACATTGTGAGGACAGGCCTTGCTCAGCACGGAATTTGAAAACATTATATAATAACAATGATAATAGGAAAGTATTCTGAGCTTGCAGTAAAGGTATTAGAGCAGAAGCTGTATGGCTTTAGATTTCAAAGGATGTCTCCCACACACATGCACAAAACCTATATTAATGGCTGGTCATCAGGGGAGTTGGAGGGCATTCGAGTATCAGCAGATAGGGGTGTCTGACTGTTCTACAGACCCTTCTGACTCAGATTATAGGGGAGTCCCATAGATAACTTCCCTGTTTCAACTATATTCAATTGCTTATAAAAAGAGGTTATAACCAATTATATAAACAAGAGGGAGAGAAAGATTATACATTGAGTAGTGCAAGTAATTCTGCCTACCATTCCACTCCACAAATATACCTGCTTTTTCCTCAAGAGTCTCATTTCCTGTGATGAATTTGCTGGCTAAGAGTTATTCTATGTAATTAAAATGTAAAATTGTTCTTAGTCAACATATATGTTATGTTCACCATGCTGTCGTATACATTCAGCATTTATACATGCATATTGCAATGTCATTTTCTGGGATTACCAATGACTATCCCCGTTGTTCGCCTTACTGCTGACTTTAGAATATAACCACGCAGAAGAGCTGTCTGTGTGCATCACTGTGATAGAATATGGGATGTGCATGTGAAATGGTTGAAAGGCCAGGAAAGGAGAAAAGTTTGCTGGAACATGAAGAAGGGCTAGCATCTGGAGAGATGAGGGAAGGTCATCCGTTTGAATATGTAGGAATTGTGCACTTCTATTTCAGTTTCCAAAAGTTTTGCTGCTCTTTCCTCATGTTTCTCTACCACTCCCCCCACAGAATGTGAAGCTGTTGGAACAGTTTGTCTGTGCCCACACGGGTATCATCTTCCATGCTCCGTACACAGGTCAGCCCATCATCCCTGTCACCACCAGAATAACTTTTCCTTGGGGCATTCCTAATTTGTGCAGTTGGACGAAAGGTATTTGTTTGGTGGCTCCTATATGTGGTATAAAAAATTCGATTGAACCTTTTGGGACACTCACATGCTAAAACAATAACATGTGGATGAAAGATACAGGCAAGTCCTTCAGTAAGCAAATTAAATGTATTTCTTTTCTTTTCTTTTTTTTTTTTTGAGACAGAGTCTCACTTTGTTGCCCAGGCTAGAGAGAGTGCCATGACATCAGCCTAGCTCAAAGCAACCTTAAACTCCTGGGCTCAAGCAATCCTTCTGCATCAGCCTCCCAAGTAGCTGGGACTATAGGCATGCACCACCATGCCCGGCTAATGTTTTCTGTATATATTAGTTGGCCAATTAATTTCTTTCTCTTTGTAGTAGAGACGGGGTCTCGCTCAGGCTGATTTCGAACTCCTGACCTCTAGCAATCCGCCCGCCTCGGCCTCCCAGAGAGCTAGGATTACAGGCGTGAGCCACCGCGCCCGGCCTATTTTTATTTTTTTATTTATGTTGGCCAATTAATTTATTTCTATTTTTTTTAGTAGAGACAGGGTCTCACTCTTGCTGAGGCTGGTTTCGAACTCCTGACCTTGAGCGATCCACCCGCCTAGCCCTCCCAGAGTGCTAGGATTATAGGCATGGACCACCACGCCCGGCCCCGATAAATTCTTCTATATCATTGTCAGTTGTATTAGATGTTCCAAATTTGGAATTGTAAACCTAACAATTCAGGATTATATTTATTTCCTAACTAGCTAGAGGCCAATTCTGGCTCTGCCATGTCCATTTGTTTTCATATTGCCTACAACTGCTTTCAGTTTATAGTGCAGAGTGGAATGGCCAAGACAAAAGACCACAGGACCTGTGGAGCCTATGATATAGGCTCTGGAGCCTCAGAAAAATTTTGCCGCCTCCTGCTCTTGAAGCATGTTAAATTTGCAAAGAATCCAAATCCACTGTTATTGGGAGTGGCAGTACGATCAGTGTCAGAATTTCTTATGTTTAAGCTGTCAAAAGCTGAAGGGACTATATTTAGGTATGTATTATTGTTACTCTGATAGCCTTCCTTAAATCTGAAATCTCTTCCTTTATGGGATCTTTCTGCAACTGAACCCTCTAATTAACCACACTTGCCCTTTTTTTTTTGAGACAGAGTCTTGCTTTGTTGCCCAAACTAGAGTGAGTGCCGTGGTGTCAGCCTAGCTCACAGCAACCTCAAACTCCTGGGCTCAAGCAATCCTGCTGCCTCAGCCTCCCGAGTAGCTGGGACCACAGGCATGCGCCACCATGCCCAGTTAATTTTTTCTATATATATTAGTTGGCCAATTAATTTATTTCTATTTATAGTAGAGACGGGGTCTCACTCTTGCTCAGGCTGGTTTCGAACTCCTGACCTCAAGCAATCCGCCCGTCTGGGCCTCCCAGAGTGCTAGGATTACAGACGTTAGCCACCGCGTCCGGCCCACACTTGCCCTTTGATTTGTGTTCTGTTCCCTGTCTTAGGAGCCTTTGTCATTATATGGCTTCTCTATGGTGGCTAGATCCTCTTAAATGTTCATCTTAGCTCTCAGAGTGAACGGGGATCATTGGGCACATGGGGAAACTGTAGGCCATGGAGGAGGTCAAGGGAATGGGGTCATCAGGTAAAGCCAAGTCTCTCAGGTCCAGCCCTCTGTCACCGTACAGATGCAATTGTGTCCTTTTATTTACTGTGCCTTATAAGAATGAGGACCAAGTTATCATTTTTTCCCCCACAGGGGTCTGTATGAAGCAGCATAAGAAGTTGACCCAGGCCATCCAGAAAGCAAGGGATCATGGTGAGTGTGAGAAAATGGCACAAGGAAGTTTTGTTAGGCATGAGGAAGGTGACTTAGGGCTGGAGGGTAGATGTAAATGCATCTACCTATCTGAGAAATTAGCACTCGACATTTCTCAAGAATTTCTTTCCACGTTCCATTGTCTCTCCTACTTTGTCATTGTCCTGTCCCCCTGTTTTTTATCTTCCTTACCCTTTCCTCTTTTTTTTTTTTTTTTTTTTTTACAGAGTCTCACTCTGTTGACTGGGCTAGAGCACTGTGGAGTCAGCCTAGCTCACAGCAACCTCAAACTCTCAGGCTCAAGCAATCCTTTTGCCTCAGCCTCTCAAGTAGCTGGGACTACAGGCATGCGCCACCATGCACGGCTAATTTTTTCTATATATTTTTAGTTGGCCAGTTAATTTCTTTATATTTTTTAGTAGAGACGGGATCTCGCTCTTGCTCAGGCTGTTTCAAACTCCTGACCTTGAGTGATCCACCTGCCTTGGCCTTCCAGAGTGCTAGAATTCTAGAATTACAGGCGTGAGCCTCCGTGCCTGGCCCACCCTTCCCTCTTATTTTACAACTGCTGATCCCAGTGCCATAGCGAGATCAGAAGAGGATCTTTGTCTAAATATCTGACCTGTGGCACCATCACAGGAGTTCAAAAGGTACCCCTCTGCTAGGGCAGATGCAGCTTTGCAGTCCTGGTGCAGGACTGCACAGCTTTGAAGTATATCAGCCCACATGTGACCCCTGGCCAGTTACCTTTGTGCAGTATACAATATGCATAAATGTACCCAGTGGCTCTGACTGCTCCCTTCCTTTTATACTTCCTTCCTTTTTCTTACTGTCTGTCCTTCTCACTCCCCTCTTGACTTTCTCTCATTTTAATCCCTTAGGTCTCCTTAGTTACCACATTCCCCAGGTTGAACCCCGGGACGTTGACTTCAGTACTTCTCATGGAGCTGTGAGTGCTACTCTGCCAGCCCCCACCCTAGTTTCTGGCAAGCCCTGGTACCCGTGGTACAGCTGGAAACAGCCACCGGAGAGAGAACTGTCCCGCCTTCGCCGGCTCTATCAGGGTCATCTCCTAGAAGAGAGTGACCCCCCACCTGAGTCAATGCCTGAGGTGCCTCCCACAACACCAGCTGAAGCCGCCACTGAACAGACAGGCCGCCAGAGCGCTCCATAGGGGCCAAAGCCAGGGAAGGGAGCCTGATTAGGAAGCAGTGCCTGGGGTTACATGATGGGATGTTACCCTGAGAAGTTTTGCCTTTGGCAGATGCAGGAAGGAAATGAATGTTGTTGCAGGGGATAAATCGGACGCTGAGGGAGGGAGCACAGATGTGTATGGGAAACCTCAACCACTGTATATTGTAGATAGGGCTGAACATTGTGTTGCTTTCAGACTTCTGCCAGCTCAGCTTTTCCACAATAAAGCTGTATCTTCTCTCTCTGACTTTCTTGGGGATGCGTTTCAGATAAGTGCCATTTGTGGGGGTGAGGGTAGCAGCCAGCTGAGTGGTGTTTGTTCTTTTCATATGAGTAAGAAATGGGTGCTGCAGTAGCAAGAGGAGTGGTAATGCTTAAGGCAGCCCTGCCAGTGACTCCTGGGACCAGAAACCCGGATGCGAAGTTGTGCCATTCTATCGGGATGGTCTTTCTGGGCTCCAGTGCCCCACACAATGTTCACTCCCTGGCCGGCTTGCTGTTCGCTGAGTGGCTAAAAGGTTGGAGGCTGGGCCCAGGAAAAGTGCGTTGCCACGGCGCCCACTGCCATGGTGTGGGGGGGACGGGCGGAGTAGCGTTGCTGGGGGGACAGATGATTTGGTGAGAAGAGGGAGTCCTTAGGCAGGACGGGCTGCCAGGACGCTAGGGGCAGGGTCTGTGGGCGGGGCTGCTGGAAATAGACTCCGGAGGGCGAGGGGAGGGGCGGAAGTGACGTCGTGTGGGGTGGGTCCGGCCGCGCACAATGGGCCATGGAGTTCCCGTTCGATGTGGACGCGCTGCTCCCGGAGCGGATCACAGTGCTCGACCAGCACCTGCGGCCCCCGGCCCGCCGACCCGGAACCACAACGTCGGCTCGGTGACACCTCAAACCTGACCTATGGCCCTTTTCTCCTGGTGCCTCTCCAAACCTGGTCCAGGAACCACGCCCCCTTCTCTCACTGACTATTGACCCGTTCCTTTTGATGTTCTGGCTCACCCTTTTGGTGACCTCTGATCCTAGACCTAGTGGGGTTGATCAGTGCTTGGGTCTGCGCTTTCACCCCTTAGCCCAAAATGTCCCAGTCAAAGGATGTGGTTGACCCAGCCTTCCTGCTTCCCCACAATAACCTGAAGGCAGGAGGGAGTATACCACCTTGAAAGGTGTGACTGAAGTTTGGGTTCCAGAGGGGTGGGGTGGGAAGACTCCCAGGCAAAGGCAGAGTTGAACCTGGGTTGGAGGTGTGGCCGGGGTTCCCAGGAGTGACTGCTTAGGACGCTCTAATTCAGTGAATATCTGACTCTTTCTCTCCTCTCTTTCTAAAGTGTTGATCTGCAGCAGCAAATTATGACCATTGTAGATGAACTGGGCAAGGCTTCTGCCAAGGTATTGGGGAGTCTTTAGATGAAGTAAAGCAGGGGACCTCTGTGGGGATGGTCAATAAGGGAGGCCTGGGTTCTTTGGAGGGATATGCAGAGTCTGTCTTCATCTTCCTGGCAGGCTCAGCATCTTTCTGCTCCCATCACCAGTGCATCGAGGATGCAGAGTAACCGCCATGTTATTTATGTGCTGAAAGACACTTCAGCCCGACCGTGAGTGCCAAATGCTCTTCCATCCCATACTTAATTCCTTTCTCCCTCAGCCATTCTTGCATCTTTGACTCTGCCTCTACCAGATACCTGCCACTAGCCTGTCCTTTATTTTCCCCATCTTACAGGGCTGGAAAAGGAGCCATTATTGGTTTCCTCAAAGTTGGATACAAGAAGCTCTTTGTACTGGTGAGTGTTACTGGAAGCTGGGAGTTCGTATGCCTTGGTTCTTGAGAACCAAAGTGCTAGAGGTTAGGGAGCAGCAAAGATACCTGGGTCCTAAAAGATACTTATTGTTTACCTCTTAGGATGATCGTGAGGCTCATAATGAAGTTGAACCACTTTGCATCCTGGACTTTTACATCCATGAGACTGTGCAACGCCATGGCCATGGGCGAGAACTCTTCCAGTATATGTTGCAGGTATCACTTGTCTCTTCACTGGTCCACCCAAAAGAGGGCCCAAAGGCTCCTTTTCTCTGAGCCCTTCAGAAGCCCAGGTTCCTATTGTCATGCTCTCCCCATACCTCCTCCTACCCTGAGTCTCCTGTTCCCTGCAGAAGGAGCGAGTGGAACCACACCAACTGGCCATTGACCGACCATCACAGAAGCTGCTGAAATTCCTGAATAAGCACTACAATCTGGAGACCACAGTCCCGCAGGTTAGAGGTTCCAAAGGGTAGATTTCTGTTGCACATTCCTATTGAATTCATTTCTTTTTTTTTTTTTTTTGAGACAGAGTCTCGCTTTGTTGCCCAGGCTATAGTGACTGCCGTGGCGTCAGCCTAGCTCACAGCAACCTCAAACTCCTGGGCTCAGGCAATCCTTCTGCCTCAGCCTCCGGAGTAGCTGGGACTACAGGCATGCGCCGCTATGCCTGGCTAATTTTTTCTATATATATTAGTTGGCCAATTAATTTCTTTCTCTTTATAGTAGAGACGGGGTCTCGCTCTTGTTCAGGCTGGTTTCATACTCCTGACTTCGAGCAGTCCGCCCGCCACCTCGCCCGGCCAGTTGATTCTTTTCATACAGAAGAACTAACAACATAAGAATGATTCAGGAGAGGGAGAATTTGATGTCAGAGAAAGTGGGGGCAATTGCTGAAGCAATGTCATTGAGTGGGCAGGCTGGGTTGAGATTTTGTTGACAAGTTAGCCTTGCATAGGAGCTTGAATGGTTAATCTGTTGAAACACAATTTGGTAGGTGATTACAGAGGAAGCCTAAGGCCACGGTGGTGAGTGCTACCTTGGGCTGGGATTGGGAAAGAAAGGCTCAACCTATGTTTAATCTTAAAAGGCAAGTGTTTGTCAGGTGGACAAAATGGAGTGGGCTAAAGCATATTTCACATAGATGAACCAGTATAAGCAAAGGCAGGGGGGTGGTAAACCGCCTTTCAGGGCACTGTGAGCAGTGCGGTGTGGCTGGGGCGCTGGGCACGTGCTTGCTTAGGGAGGATGAGGGCGGGTCGGTAGACGTTACAGTAAGGTCAAGGCAAGAGATAGGCTGGGTCTTCCTCCCACAGTACATTTTTCCATTAAGAAGTAGCAGAAGGCCAGGCGCGGTGGCTCACACCTGTAATCCTAGCACTCTGGGAGGCCGAGGCGGGAGGATTGCTCGAGGTCAGGAGTTCGAAACCAGCCTGAGCAAGAGCAAGACCCCATCTCTACTGTAAATAGAAAGAAATTAATTGGCCAACTAATATATATAGAAAAAATTAGCCAGGCATAGCGGCGCATGCCTGTAGTCCCAGCTACTCCGGAGGCTGAGGCAGAAGGATTGCCTGAGCCCAGGAGTTTGAGGTTGCTGTGAGCTAGGCTGACGCCACGGCAGTCACTATAGCCTGGGC